AGTGCGAAAAAAAATCAAATTTTTGCGAGCGTATATTCGTAATCATGGTATACCGGAAAGCATTAGGACAGATCACGGATCTGGGTTCAACTCTGACGTCGTTAAAGATTTTTGCAAAAGTAGAGGCATAAAACACATCCTCACAGCGGTGGGGGATCATCGGAGTTGTGGGCTGGTGGAGAGGTCGATCCAGATCATTAAACGGAAGTTAGGAACAGAAAAATTAGATCCTAATTTTAAAAATCTGAAGTCAAATTTACAACAAATCATTGACGATATTCGGAAAACTAAGCATTCTACGCTAAAAGTATCTCCTTTTGATTTACATTTTGGGAGGAAGCCTAACGCTGAGTTTTCGTTAGCACGTGATAATGTTGTTCATTCTCCTACTTCAGCGCAAGGACTGGAGAGAAACCTCCTAACTCCGGAGCAGCGATCAAGCCAAGATTACAGCCGCGATAGGGCTAAGTTGTACCCAGAGGAGCGCCACACAGCCCGGAAATCTCCTATAAATTCAAGCCACTCTTTGGTGTGGGCGAGCGTATAGCGGATAGTCAACCTTACAAGGCCTTGGAGAACCTTGCGAAGGCGGCTAACACCTGGAAGCAGTGGAAACGGAATAAGCCTCCACAACAAGGACAAGAACTTCTCCGCGAATTGGCGGCTCGTAACAGTGACCTCGCAAACTCGCTGAAATCGGGGATCACAAAGGGAACCCTACGTTTTTACGATAATGCCCGCGATACTTCAGCACCAGCACTCTCGCCTTCCCAGCGAATGAATGAGAGCCCAAAAGACTCTCAAAAACACGTAAATTAGAAAAATTAGTGTTACAAGATCCTCTAAGAGTCAAAATCTTTCGGAAAGTTCTTGATCGAAAATCGGGAAAGCCTCTGTTCAAACTAGCAAAAATCAAGATTACTCTTGTTACGGACCATACTTACATTACCGGCAAAGGGAAAGTCTATCGGAAATTTCACTTAAGCTTAAGACATAATTTTAATCACCCTACGTTTTCAGCTACGCCTGGCACAGTGGGAGAACGGTTACAGCGACGAATTGCTCCCTGGCTTCAATCTCAGCCATCTACTTCTCTAGCTACAAGGCACACAAATGAACTTTCGAAGGGCAAGGTGATTGATTTAACAGCAGAGTCATCAAGCGAGGACTCCTTGATCACCGGACCTCTGCTCGAGTTGGTGGAGGCACCTGTTACAACGCCTCAAGGATTGGCTCCCATGATCGTTACGTCGAAAGCTCCGGTTATCAATCCTCTGACAAACCCCGCCTCGACATCTTCCACAGGGGCGCAAGCAACGCCTCAGGATCAGCCCATCTTACTTCAGCCACATATTTCTGGCACCGTTCCTCAGACTGCAGCTAAGGACCGGGCCGCTACATAAGGAGGTTGACGATCCCACCTCCCAATCTACGAGTGAGTCCAACAGATCTTCTAATCGGTCTACGAAACCGACGAGGTTTTATGGCAATCCTCTTCGCTATTCAGTTAAGAGTGTAACCGAATCCGACCCTGCGGAGTCTTCGTCACAACGACCAATCACAGTGCAGACGGTTACTACGCCATTCACCCCGATTGTTCGAAAAGGATTGCAAGTGCCTTTTCCCAGAACTAAAGAGCAAACTACTCCGTTTAAGAAAACCAGAATCGAAGAGCATGATAAAATTTCTTGAACTTTAAAACTCCGTAAACTCAGCTATATTTGTCTTTTGATTGGGTTATAACTAACCTATTAACATGTGCTTAATGTCTTCCTCGCTATTCTGCTTGATACATTCTGAAGTTTATACTAAGATAAATTTTTTCTACAGGGAGAAGTGTCATGAGGCGACCTTCGGTACCTCATTCTATTCTATTTACTTATGTATGTCTTACTTAACTATGTCTTAATTATCTACTTATAGTGCAGTAAATTGATTCAAGGACAAATCTCACCAGCCAAATCATTTGTCACTTGAGAACCTGAAGCGGTCACTTGCGAAAGCCTTAAGTGTGAATTCTAGTCGTAAAACTTTATTGACATTCAAACAATACATTCAATCTGGAATCGTTATTCATATATACATTATTCTATTCTATCTGTTTATATATCATAGCTAATTCAATATTTAATTTTTACAATCCCGTTTTCCCTACTCCAACTGAGGGAAATCTCAAGAAGTAACGACCAAGCCTGGGACGGCAGAGGTTCCCAGTTAAGTTAATCCTGGCAGGACCTGTACTTTTTTCCTACTGAAAATTTCTCATTTCATAAAACTTTCGGCCTTTTGTCGACCTATCGTCTGTCTTTCTCTCTATGTTTTGTTGGCTTAGCTGCCACATCACATACGTTTAGTCTGGTGTAGGCAATTTCATCAGAAATGAAAGAGTCTTTGAATTTTTCCTTGTAAATTATAAATCTACGAACCCCTTTATTTGTATAATTTACCTTTTTGTTTTTCTTCGCTTCAAAACTTTATTCAGCCTAAATGGTTTCGGCTTATGTTACATTAGCTTAAATTTCTAATGTTGCGTGATTTGAAAGGCAAAACCAGCGTTTCATATTTAACTGTTTTGGGAGGGAGGGTGCGAATTTTTTGAAAATGAGAACTAGCTCCAAATGTCTACGTTAACATTTTTGTTTTCGACTCAACGGTCGTTCACCCATTTTTCTTACTTAGTTGCCGCTCGATAGAAACTTTTTGTGCTTTATGTCTGCCGGCGATTGTGTTGCTGGACGTGTTTTTCTCAAATTGAACATCATTCGAGACAAGTGTTTGGAATTTGTGTAGTTGTGGTTTTTCGGCGTTTTTGAAAAACTATTACCAATTTGTTTTAATTCGTATTTGATTTGTATAAAATATGCATTTCATGCAAACGCGCAAAGTGTAATGGTTTTTGAATTTTTAGACCCAAATCGATTTTGATGTGCTACAAAACAGACGTTTTAGGTATGTTTCCATAATGAAAGATGTTATGTAGGTGATATCTGCAAAGTTATCGTATGAAAAATTGGTATTTTATCCAGGGCATATCAAGTAACTATTGCTATTGCAATATACTGCAATATTCTATTTTGACTAAATGTTTCTAGCCATACAGTGCTGATTTAAATTAACCGGACAAAACGCGTTAAACTTGAAATTTAAAACGCATTTTTCTCAAATTGGGTTGAGTTTAGGTGAAAACTTATGGACACAAAACTTGCTTAAAATTTCAGCAGAATTAATACGGTATTATTTGTTTTGCGAAATTCGGGCCCAAAATTTTACCCCAAAAATGGGTCATTTTGGCTTTTCTTGGTTAATAAAAAATTACACCGAAAACAACCAGTCGATCACAGACATAATTATATCAAAGTGAGCCCCTTACGTAGCCCAACAAACTTTATGCAGGGTATTTTCTCCAAAAAAAAGAATTGTTTAAAAATTGTTTTTAAATAATAAGTTGGTATTTTATATAGTAAAAATGACCTTTTTTGTCTATCAAACAAAAATAAATTAATTTATACATTTTTTTGGAGATTATAGCCTTCATAAAGTTTGTTGGGCTACGTAGGGGGCTCTTTTTGATATAACTGTGTCTGTGATCGACTGGGTATTTTCGGCGTAATTTTTGATTAACTAAGAAAAGCCGAATTGACCCATTTTTGTGGGAAAATTTCGGGCCCGAATTTCGCAAAACAAATAACACCGTATTAATTCTGCTGAAATTTTAAGCAAGTTTTGTCTCCATAAGTTTTCACCTAAACTCAACCCAATCTGAGAAAAATGCGTTTTAAATTTCAAGTTTAACGCGTTTTGTCCGGTCAATTTAAATCAGCACTGTATATTGCTTTTATTCCTGCAACATATTGCAAAAGTTTGCAATGGTTTTAATGACGTAAAGGCCCACTTTACAAGAGTGATTGATGCTTCTTGCAGTTTGCAAACAATAATTCAAATCAGTGATGAGCAAGGCTGGATATTCTTACAATGACTACTGAAAAAGTATCCTTCCGGCAAATTTGGAAATGCAACGTTTTCTTCATTATAACCGTAATTTTTGGGCTATGAATACTGTTTACACGAGCGTAGCGTAGTGTGACAGTACTATGCAACTTTTTTTCGTATCTAAGTTGCAATTTTATTTGCAACTTAGATACGAAAAAAAGTTGCATAGTATACATTTTTGGTGGAAATTTTGTAACAATTGGCTCTTTTAGCAGTATATTGCCAAGTACCTTGAGTTTTGATTAGTAATAGGCTAACACATTTGATGCTTTTTCAATTCATCAATTGGACCGAAAAAGCTATTTGTTTCATACAACAGTATAATAATTTAAATCGCTTTTCAGAAAATTTCCAACTTGATTTACTTTGCGAGATTTTTGAAATGCATAATTTATTCGCAAATTGGTTTTATACATTATAATTTTTTAAATGCAACGTTAGTGTGGTTGCCTTTAGTTTGTTACATTCCAAGTTATTACATACAGAGTTTTTGTGCATTTTAAAGCTCATGAATTTTTGGCGCTTTCTCGCTCGTGTTGGCGAAGCCGCCGCTTTGCCTCTGTATAAAGAAATTGTGAACCACAAGAATTTATAACTTATCTATTTTTCATAATTAGGTCTTGAACTATCGAAAATATTGCAATATATTGCAGTATTCTATAGCAGTTTTAAAAATATTGCAATATTCATTTGAAAAAAGTTCGGTTCTAACAATCAATATTATTGCAATAGTATTATGATGTGTCCTGATTTCATCCCTCCAGCCCCTAAGTTGATGGGGGGAGTGTACGGGTGATCGATGTTTTCGTTTATTTCTCACTTGAATGGATTCGGCTTATGCTTTAATGACTTCAATCATTTTGCGTTGATTGAAGATTTCCGTCGAATTTGTCTCAACTAGCTTACAATTCTATGTTTGTGATGTATCACAAGTTTTGCGAAGCGTCGCTTCGCGTCTGTCATATTTTGATGTATTGTCTTATCATTTTCCTCACTTCTTGTGCTTTCAGTGTCGAGCTGATGTGTGAATGGGACAAATCTCAAAGTGGCAATAACGGCAACTCAATCATTCCCGGTAGCAACGCTCAAAGTGTATCCATATCATTCACAACTCCATCCAGCATCAAAAGTGCAAAATATTACTACGAAAAATCAATCGAAGAAATAGTCTACATAGCCACACTTCAGAACAAAATTCAAAGTCTACGAAAACAGTACGCGAAGCTGAGAAAGCTGAAATTGGCAAATAAACAGAATTTGATAGACCTAAAGAGCCCTAAAAGTGAAAATATAGTGGAACCGGCTTTGTCAAATATTTGGGACTTTAACTCAGATTCGATTGAAATTTGAACGCAAATTTAGTGTAATTATCTTTTTTGAAGTAATTAAAGGTTATTATTGGTGGTTTCTTTAGTATTCTCAAAATTGATTGAGTAGTTTGGAACCAGTTCTTAACTAGTATTTATAAACAAATTACATTATTGATAAATTATCACTATAAAATATTACTAATTAACCAATCATTTTCCATCTCTAACATTGACACTTATTTGTAAGTGCTGAAACTACTTGTAGTTTTAGCACCAGAACAATTTGATTAAAACTTTGAATACAGTTGTTCTCCTTCTGGATAAACTCCAAGAACTAACTCGCATAAATCAGTATATACTAGATCTATTGAGACTAGGAGATATAAGAGTAAGATTAAGATCGGTATTAGACTAAGAAGTTGCACGAACCTACCCGGCCGAAAATAAGATTGCGTGACGAGCAGACGGTATACCCTATCTGAAATTACTCAATGAGTATAACCAATAGGTCATAACTCATCTGGTGTGACCAATCGAACAAGACCTTAACTAACTTAAAATTAGACAATAGAACTAAGAATTAGACAATTGCAAAAATGCTAGACGCAATAGATAATTTAAGAGAAATGTCTCTACGTCTCAATAAATGTACACCAAATTTCCAAACAATACAAGAAATACCAGGTTTTGAAAGAAGACCAAGATCGTGGCGTGAAAAACGATCAGGAATCGGACAATCTGCTACATGATAGTACGACGGAAACCGGAACAAACTTTTGTATTTAGAGTACTTTATGCAGTAAATTTAAATTTTTATTTACTGACATGAAAATAATATGAAGAAAAAATTCTTCAACAACCTTACTGGTACTAAATTTTCTATCTATACAATAACGACGGATAAAAAGGGCACAAGTCTCCCCCAACATCTGCAGTAAATCAAAAATTTCAATAAATAATTTATGAAATACAACACAAAAATTAGCTCATATTATAAATCTTTGTTAGATTTATAAATTAACTATCTGATTTTCCTCATCCCAGCTTCATCACCTAAAACATAACAGCAAAAATTCAAGAAACTAATATCATCAAAACTTTAACTTTTCAATTTTCTTAAACTCAAAACTATTTGTCATTAACTGAATGAATAAAACTTATGATAATTTTATATCCACAGCACTTCGCGACACCAAAGACTACGATTGTTATTTTAATATATTTAATAATTTATCATTAACTTTCAATTTCCCAACACCAAAAGAACGTGAATTACAATACTCACATCAAATAATGTTAGGCACAAAATAAACTCACACAAACACTTATTATAAATTTACCATACACCACTATACATCTAATACACCATCACAAAACCCACAACATCGATTCACATTTATTAACTCCAAATGTACTTCACCATTCTTCCTAAATTGCACATACTGTATAAAAGTCACTAATATGCAAGGCATCATCCGAAATTGCGACCCCATAAGACAAATGTATATATTCTGCCCACTAACCAGAACTTTCAACGTTGATGAATCTCGCCCACTAATTGTCCCCTACGAATATATACAGCCTGTCGAAATCTCAATCCTAGAATATTTTCACAACACTAAATATAACCATAAGCTTTATAACCTAATTCAAAACACACCACATAAATTCTCTTTAAGTAGTGAAGAGCACAAGATCATCAGAGCACTCGAGCTTCTATGGCATCTCCTACAAACTAAATACGTCATCCGCCTGCTTGCTAAACTTCTAACGTCATCGGACACAATTCACATTGTTTTCCCAAATGGTTTTTTTTTTGCCGACGATGACCCTTAGTAAGTAAAATTAAGTATTTTTAACTAATAAGTTTCAAACACAACTAACCATTCCTTATAAATGTTTCACTTTTATTTTTTTAGATTTCACCACTCAATCATTTAAAACAAATAAAAATAAATAAAAAATTGTTAACTCTTTTCTATAAACTTTTAAATTCATTTTTGCAATTGCAGTATTTAATTAAAAGCAGTAAAATTTACCTTTAAATAGCAGTAAATTCATAAGTTTAATCCTCTAAAGCAGTACGTTTCCCTCCACACAGCAGTAATTTCATAAATTTAATCCACCAAAGCAGTAAAATTAGTATTTCAATGTAGTAAATTCTTAAAAATTTTCAAATGAATTAAAGAATACTTACTTTTTACAAGACGCTTGTTTTATAAATTTGAATATTTCACTCGCCCATAAATCACACACTCTTTTCACAATCGCACAGTTCCCCCACGAAAAGTTTTTCAAATTTTTAAGTTTCAACTTTCACTGATAACAACTCTAACTTGTTTTCACACGTTTCAAACTTTCCTTTAACCCGGTTGGAAATATATAGTAAACTGAAATAACCAACGCAGCTTAATAACGTCACAAAACCACAAACCAATAGCATGACTAAGAAAGAAAATCCCACGTTACCCAAACCAGATTAAAACTGGATATATTATTCTTTTGAAAACTACTTTCAAGTTTTACCACAAGCAAATAAAACACAAAAAACCGAAAGACAAACCCAAACCAAAAGATTTTTTTTTGATAAAAGCACACAGCCAAAACGAAAAAGAGTGAAACAAGTAATGAAAATGAAATGAAAGGTTGAACAAATAAAGAGACTCTGCACAAAGAGACCATAAAAATAACCCACTCCTGGCCTCACCAACCCGAGGGAATTCCTGAGCATGTTCTTTAGCCGGCCTAACCCACCGCGCTACAACCACGCTTTGTGACCCATACTCTATTTTTGCTGAGAGTTGCTCTAGTGTGAACGACTCTTAAAAAATAACCAAACTAAAATAAAACGCTTTTGTGAAAACGACTAACTAAAATCGTGATTAAAAAACCGAACTAATAAAAATAATAATTAGTAATTATATATGTAAATCATAAATGCAGTATGTAAAGATTTCTTAGAGCCCAAGGAACGAGCAGCAAAGGAGATGGCAACCCAACTACATTCCAACTCTACAATGGCAAATCTATTCGATTTGCTGCCTGAAGACACTACCCTCAAAAGGTTTAAATTATGGACTCAACATCGCAGCAAAGGAAAACCATTGAACCAGACCAATAGCCATCTCGTTATTGACTAAACGTACCGATCCTAGTCACTTGGCACTTCACACGGAAAAGTCAAACTTCACCCTGCACGTAGTCTCGCACTAAACTTAACGAAATCGATACACCATTGCATCGATCAGGAGTCTTGTCACAATCACCCAAGACCACCACGATCAACGAAACCCATCTTGAAACACGAACAAAACGATCTTCCTCCGTCTAACACAAACAACCACGCTTCTCCCTCCGAGAACCCAATGCTAGCAACTTCAAAAAGAAACTACATCACCCGTCTTTCACTTTATTAAACAGTTAAAAACTAAAAACTCTCTAAACCCCGGATCGGTGGAACCAGTTCTAACCTAGTATGTATAATTCAATTATATTATTGATAAATGATGACTATAAAATTTTACTAAGTAACCAATCATATTCCATCTCTAAGATTGACACTTATTTGTAAGTGCTGAAACTACTTGTAGTTTCAGCACCAGAACAATTTGAATAAAACTTTGAATACAGTGGTTCTCCTTCTGGATAAACTCCAAGAACTAACTCGCATAAATCAATATACACTAGATCTATTGAGACTAGGAGATATAAGAGTAAGATTAAGATTGGTATGAGACTAAGAAGTTGCACGAATCTATCCGGCTGAAAATAAGATAGCGTGACGTGCAGACGGTATACTTTATCTGAAACTGCTCAATGAGTATAACCAATAGGTCATAACTCAAGTTTGTGACGCAACAGTGATGTCAACGAGTGTTTTTTTTTTTCATTTATCAAATCAGAATAGGTTCATATAAACCATTTGTTAAAAAGTTAACTGAATCATTTTGAAAGCTTTTCTTCTGCTTTGTCGTTAAATCTTTTGTTTCTCCAACCAATAGACATTTTGAGCATGTTTGCCTTAGAAATACTCAATTGTTTCAATTTTTTGTTATCTTGACTGCAATTTGTTAAGTTTCAGTTTCATATTTTTAAAGGATTTATTTGAGTTAAACTGTTTTGGCTCCTTAGGCAAGCAAACGCCTTTGTAATACTACGAAAATTCTTATTGATAAATTAAAATGCATAGCTTAATGCCATTTTCTCAAAAGTGCCAAATTTAATGTGGGCGTAGCTGGTAATTGTTAAAACTAGGCAATATATTAGTGGCTGGTTTTTTAAATGGCAGCATACGGATATAGCTCAATTTCTAGGCCAGTACGCTCCAAAGCTGTAGATACTCAATGAAGAAGGTTCGATACGCGTTTGATTTTTTTGTTTGCTTATCCATGTTTCAGTTTGCTTACTTTTTGGTATTTTCTGCTATTTGAAAATTGCTATTTGGGATTTTTGCTTGTGCTTGATTGTGCTTACGGACTCTCAATTGCTATTTAGAAAGTAATGCTCAATTTTAAATTTTTTTCTGACTCAACCGGTGTCTGCCTAATTTTTTTTCGTTTCAATATCAAAATAGCAAAGTTTGAATTAGAAACCAAGTCCAAGTACGGCGTTAGAGGCACTGGTGACCGTTGCCCGCCATGACAATATCGCGAACCAGAGCTCCCCATCGCTTTCGTTCCACTGCAATTTCATTGCATAAATCGAACCACTCTGTTTCCCATTTTTCCAGTGCATTCTGGGGGGCTTGATAAATTCAATTGTGTCATCCTGCACAAGCTTTCTCCAGGACTTCTTTGATCCATCAGATGGGCGTTTCACCTTTTATAACCTCAATAACTGCATTCGGGATCTCGCTCGGGTCCATCCGGAGGACATGGCCAAGCCATTTACGTCGTCGTGATTGAATGGTTTGGCAGATATTCATTTTCAAGTTGGCCTTTTCTCTGAGGAGATCTTTATGCTGGCCGAATCATCGGTGTAAAATTTTTCTGAGGCATTTTTTCTCAAACCCATCCAGTCTCCGCTTATAATTGATTTTAACGGACCATGTCGCTTCAGTAGAGAAGCGTGCTTCTAACACCGGTAC